ATTTTCTATCCTGTGATATGGGGTTATTAATCACTTTCCTTTCTTGCTCCAATCTGAAAATATTTAAAGTTTAATTGAAAGTCGCTGGGGAAAAACTTTAAAGCTAGAAAGAAGAAAAATATTTCAAGTCCAAATAGGAATCCCTTCTACTGATTAACACATTTTCTAGTTTAGCAGCAGAAAAAACTTTGCACCACTTTTATCATTAGCCTAAGAATCAAGAAGTGGGCTAGAAGTTGAATCAGGTCTGTAAGATGGATTCAGAACAATAGTCTTAAAACACTTAAAAATAGTAACTTATGAGCCTTTCTGGCACTGCATTTTATAATGTTTCATCTTTCCTATTGTAATGAGGCACATATTATATGCATTGCTTTATACAAAACTGAAAATATTAGATTGGGGCCTTATTTCTTAAGGGGTTTACTATTTAATTAGTTACTTATTAGATATATTGTTGATTTCAGAGAGGATATGGAATAATTAACCTAACCCTGTACTTTCTGCAGAATTCCAGGCACCATTTCCAGTAGATTCAGTAGTTCTCTCTTAGATATCAGGAATCTACATATTTTTTTAAAATTGATTTCAGAAAGAGAAACATGGATGTGTTATTCCACCCATTTACACATTCATTGGTAGCTGCTTGTATGTATCCTGACCTGGGACTGAGCCTACAGTCTTCGAGTATTTGGGATGATGCTCTGACCAACTGAGCTATCCTGCCTTGTACTTTAATTGGAAATGAGTAAAAGTTCTGACCACAGGAATGAATGCCCCCCCCTTTCTTTCTTTCTTTTTTTTTTTTTTTTTTTGTAATTGGCAAAATTAAGCAGCTACCTTTTCAAATGGTGCTTTTCTTCTTTCTCTTTTTAATCCTCACCAGAGTATTTGATTGATTTTTAAAGAGAGCAAAAAACATGGATGGGTTACTACCTCCATACACACTTGGACTTGGGATCGTATCCACAACCTTTTAGTGTATAGGGCAACACTCCAACCAACTGAGCCATCAGCCTGGGCCCAAGTGATGCTACTTTGAAATTATTAACAGTGAGCTGTCCTTGCCATCTATTGGTAATATGGTTAGGGCATTTTTACTGTATTGGTACTGTTAGTTGCTACTTTAAATATATTTTCACAAGAATAAGTTAAAACACAAAGATGCTTGACTTTGATAGAACACTTAGAAAATCTGAAAATTTCTTTGTTTTTAATTCCAAAAAGGAAAATAGTTTCTGTTACAAGTTTTTATGTGAAGTGAAGGCTTAAAATAATGTCAGTATGAAGGCATCTTTTCCTGAGTTATCTCTACAAGTTTTATGGTTCTTAGAATTAGTTGTTGTAATGAAATAATTCACACATTTAAGAACATAGCTAAAGACCCATATAGTAGTAGATACCTTTAAAACTTTGCATTTTTAAATTTTGAATTTAGAAGCTGAATATTTTTTCTATAATATATTTTTCCTTTTTAAAAATATTTTTTTATTGATTTTAGAGAGAAGAAGGGAAAGAGATAGATAGAAACATTGATCAACTGTCTCCTACATGGTCCCCACTGGGGTTAACTAAGCCCATGTTCCCTGACTAGGAATTGAATCCCAGCCTCCTGGTTCATGAGCCAAGGGTCAACAAATACTGAGCTATACAATCGGGCTATAATATCTTTTAAAGAACTAAAGTTTGTTTATGCTTATTTTAGTAATTCTGCTGAATAAATAGTCCTCTGAAGGAATGAATGATAAAACTAATGTAATCTTTAAGTTATATAGGAGAATATCTAAATATGAAACAACCATTTGCTTCAAGAACTTTCTGAGTGTGTTTTCTGAAAAAGCTTTGTTTTTTTAAATATTTTAGTATTCCACTTTTAATTGGAGACAAAAATAAATCCAGTAAAGACTATCAAATAGCTATTCATGGAGTGGGAGGATTGAATATTATTCATGGAAACTTAATTCTTAACTATAAATCCAGATAATAATTGTTCAGATGTTGAACATGTAGCTAACATATTTAGTATTTACTATTAGGTCATAAACTAGCTTTAAATTCTAAGTTAGTTATTTAATAGAATTGTCTATAAAAATGAGTGTTAAGCCTGTTAAAAATTTGATTATCAGATTGTAGTAAACGATATTTGTGAAGCCTAATTATGGATGACGTTAGTCCCATTTTCTTACGTTTTCCTGATTTGAGGGTAGAAATACTTGCTTTATAGGAGTGAAAGTTTCTGTGCTGATGGGCATTTAGAATTTATTATATAAAGATCTTAGTGGGTAAATTAGATTTTGACATAACAATTTAGAATTCTTTCCAAGGAACTATTTTCAAACTTAAAATAATCTCATAATACGCTATGAAAAAAGAATTTTATAATTATAAAGAAGAAACCTACAGTAAAGTAAGCTAATATTTTAAATAATTTAGTGAACATCTGTACTAACGAAATAGGCAGGCCTTATTGGTTTGTTATTGTTTTTTGCGGGGGGAGGAGGGTATTGATTTCAGAGAGGAAGGGGGGAGAGAAACATCAATGATGAGAGAAGCGTTGATTGGCTTAGGCAGGTCTTGTTTAAATGAGCCTTTTATATAGGTTTGTTTATCTTATGTTTACCATTAACCAAAGATATTAAAGGAATTATTTTCATAAAAGCTCTTTAAATAGTCATGTCTGATTTATCTCAGTTTCTTTGTTCTAATTTTAAGGTTATTCTTAATGAAATTATAAGTTGTTGTGGGTTATGCATTGTTTGTCTTACCCTTTTTCTGACATCCATTTTCTGTTTTGTCTTAAGGTTATCATTTACCTTCTCATAACCTTTCTTTTTGCAGAGCCATTGTTTTCATTGAACCTTACAAAGGAAAGTATTTGAGGTCTTTAATCCAGCGATCATTTTCTTAAAATATGATGAATTTAAAATTTTTACACATGATCTTAATACTATTGTATAATTTTCCTGAGTGAAAAGAATAGCTCTTTTTAAAAACTGGCTTTTCCATAACACAAAATTTTGTTTATAACATTGAAGAGCAAAAACTGCAATTAATAATAACCTTGGTACTTTGAATTAGTGATTTTGAAAAACCCTCTAAGTTTTTATCCTTTTCAATAAAGTATACATGAAAATTTAGAGGGTCCCTATCAATGTTTTTACACAGTATTTCAACTGCCTTTCTATATGGCATTTATAAGACAAATCAAAGAAACTTAAAAGAGGTCCACTTATTCTTGTTTTTATTTTTTTTAAATCTCATCTTAAAGCTTAAGTAGTTTATATAATCTCATCCAGAACTAATTTCTTTGGTGTCTTTTCTCAAATTCATCTTTCTTAGTGTACAAAAACATCTTGTAATTCCAGTCATCTCTGATAGATTTTTCTGTGTCTTTTTGTAAAATGTAGTTTTACCTGTAACCCTTTAAAAAAAAAAAGAAAAGAAAACTTCATCTACCACTGTATTTGTCCAGTGTTTCCTTGCATTATTCTATTACTAGTGGGATTTGGTTCCATAATAAATTTGTAACCATTAAATATTGCCTGGTTTTTACTGTAATAAAGTTTAATGTATTGCTGCACTATCAGTGCTTAGGTGTATGGATCATCAAACATACAAAAACTTAAAGCTTCCAAATATAATTCTATAGCAAACAGTTAAAACATCTATATGTGGTTGCAATTATAAAAAATTGTTTCATCAAGGACAGTTGTTAATGTACATCATTTAATATTTTATGAGCATCATACATAAATGCTTTGCAAATTCTTACATACCTATTTCTGAGGTAAAATAACAATTTAAGAAAGAAAATGAAAATAATTTCATCCAGAAATACATCTTGGGTGATTAGATTCAGAGTTAATTTACATTTTCCAGGTGATTATGACTATTCTTGTGGAAAGTTTCCAGAAGGCTATGAAAGCACGATCTTGTTTTCATTTTTACCTGTTTTGAACTCTTTAGGTGCTGAAGCCCTGAGCATTAAATGAGTGTTGGTGCATGTTAAACTTGGGGAGTTTCACTTCTTTAAGTCACCTACACTTCCTGTATTTGGGTGTTTTTCTTGGGAGGTCTCTTATTTCTGTACTGACCATACTTAGTTCTTACCTTGTAAGATTAGAAATGAAATAAATACTGCCTGACATAAGGGTGGACAGTAAGAAGGCAGTTAGTTATATGGCTTAATTTGTGCAGAAATCCTTGAACTCTAGGAAGCCACTTAATTTTCTTCACATCTATCTTCACCTCCAATTGATTTTACTACATAAAGGTCTCGGCTATTGTGTTTGGTCTTATATCTTATACTAGGTACTTGACACCTAACTTCAGTTACTTGTGATTTACTTGGTTCTTTCTGATAGTTATAATAGGTCTCATTTTCTAAAGCAGAATACAACTGATTCATCTTTGACTTGTTGACATTGATTTTTGTTTGTTTTTAATCTTCTCCTGGAACTTAAGCATCATACTATATAGGGTGTATTTTTATTCTTCTGAAAGAAGAACCCATCTATATTTTTACTGAAATTTTGATGTGCTTAGACATCTATCTGCCCCTTCAATTGAAATGTTTTTAAATTTAGTATGAAATTCCCTTTAATAGTTAAACTTTAGCATGAAAGATTACTTTTTAAATATCTATATGCAGGCTCTGCATACATCTGGAATCTGTTTTAAGATATATAATAAATTCCTTGTAAGTTTGAGATCTTAAATGTTTTTTTTTTTTTTATCAACATGATGCATAAGTTTTTTTTCTTTAAAAAACGGCATCTACTTAAAGGGATTTATGACTAAAATTGCTTATTTTTCTACAGAGTTGTCTGCTGGTTCTCAGCTTGAAGAAGATTCTACAGTCCTTATTGATCCTTTTTCTTGGCGTTACCATTTTTTGAAGCACAGTTAATCTAGTTTTCTAGTTTGAGCTTTCTTTTTGGCCATCTTTAAAAAAAAATTTTTTTTTTTAATCTATTAACTAGCCAAGAGATAGTTCTACAATGTCCAAGTCATTCCAGCAGTCATCTCTCGGTAGGGACACGCAGGGTCATGGGCGTGACCTGTCTGCAGCAGGAATAGGCCTTCTTGCTGCTGCTACCCAGTCTTTAAGTATGCCAGCATCTCTTGGAAGGATGAACCAGGGTACTGCACGCCTTGCTAGTTTAATGAATCTTGGAATGAGTTCTTCATTGAATCAACAAGGAGCTCATAGTGCACTGTCTTCTGCTAGTACTTCTTCCCATAATTTGCAATCTATATTTAACATTGGAAGTAGAGGTCCACTCCCTTTGTCTTCTCAACACCGTGGAGATGCAGACCAGGCCATTAACATTTTGGCCAGCTTTGGTCTGTCTGCTAGAGACTTAGATGAACTGAGCCGTTATCCAGAGGACAAGATAACTCCTGAGAATTTGCCCCAAATCCTTCTACAACTTAAAAGGAGGAGAACTGAAGAAGGCCCTACATTGAGTTATGGTAGAGATGGCAGATCTGCTACACGGGAGCCACCATACAGAGTACCTAGGGATGATTGGGAAGAAAAAAGGCACTTTAGAAGAGATAGTTTTGATGATCGTGGGCCTAGTCTCAACCCAGTGCTTGATTATGACCATGGAAGTCGTTCTCAAGAATCTGGTTATTATGACAGAATGGATTATGAAGATGACAGATTAAGAGATGGAGAAAGGTGTAGGGATGATTCCTTTTTTGGTGAGACCTCGCATAACTATCATAAATTTGACAGTGATTATGAGAGAATGGGACGTGGTCCTGGCCCCTTACAAGAGAGATCTCTCTTTGAGAAAAAGAGGGGCGCTCCTCCAAGTAGCAATATTGAAGACTTCCATGGACTCTTACCGAAGGGTTATCCCCATCTGTGCTCTATATGTGATTTGCCAGTTCATTCTAATAAGGTGAGTTAATACAACAGATGCTTCTAATTTCTTGTACATTGTAGTGTCTATTCTGTATTTACCTATATCTTTTACTCTAATTCTGTAGTCTGGTGACACTGAGTTGATCAAGAATTTTTATACTTTTGAGAACACTTTATTTGGAAGGTATTTGGTTTTTGAGCATTTTAAACCAGGGCTTTACATTAATACAATCTGCTGAGATTACTTCTGGCCACAAAACTATCATCCACTGGGATTATCTTGTTGGTTTTTGGCATCAGTATAATCTTCTTATTCATATTTAAGCAGTTTTTTGTCTGCTTTGTTGAATTGTTTTAAGTATTTTTATTTTTTTTGCAGTCAATATGCTCTACCATTCAGGATGCTAGATTTTAGCTCTCCATCTGTCTTGATTGCGGATTTGTATGTAGTAAAGATGGATTCTTGAACGATTCTCTTTTTTTCCTTATCTTTGGCTATAGGGAAAGAGTTAATGTAGAGCCCTGGTGTTTGTTTCAGTATGTTTTATATTTTAGATTAGTTCATTCTTCCTTTTTTAATTTCCCTTTAACACAAACTCTCATACTATAACTGAAATTTTTCATCATTTTTTTTCTCCTTTTCCACAACTTTCTTAAACATACTTCAAAATTCACTTTTTATTATCCCATATTGCATCTATCCCTTTAGAGACTTGGAAAAATCAATTACTGCAGTATCCTGCTCTGTGCTCCTCATAAACATATTCTTTTTCTGACTTAGGGTTAGACTTCTGGTATAGTCATTTGAACAAAAAAAATTATATATCTCAATTCTCCTTTGCTTTAATTATCACATCTGGCAAAATGGGAACTTTTATAAAATGCTCTTTTAAATATGTTGTCTTTTTCTCTTTCGATGTTTAGATTTTACTTGTTCTCTGATGATTATTTTTTTCAATATACAGTGCAGTTGACTTAAAGTCAATAACACGACCATCCGTTTTTCCTGATGTGGTGTATAGTTCATTTCTATTTAACTGGGATATGTTGCCATGAAATTGATGGTTACTGTTACATAGGGTTTTTTATTTACAGTAATATCTGAAAAGGTCATTTTCTTTTCATAACAATTCATTAACTAAATCATAGATTATTAGAGATTTTGTTTAAGTAAACAAAACATTAAGTGCTAAATTTAAATTTAAAGATCAGTTTTCATTTAAGATGTAGAACTTCAAACTTCAAATTTGATAGGTGATTTGGCTGTTGACCTTTTTCAAATTTGTTGCTAATACTAATAATGTATTATGATATGTACCGTGTTTCCCCAAAAATAAAACATCCTCCAAAAATAAGACCTACTTACAGGTTTCCTTCTGAGTGAAATGTAAGGCATCCTCCGAAAATAAGGCCCCCTCCTAGGTCTGTCTCAGAATGAAAATTAATTTACCCTAAACTGGTCGCTAGGGCCGCCCCGACTGGCGTCTAGCAACCAGTGACATTACTCGGAGTCCTGAAGTCACTGCTGTGGAGGCGGAGCGGAGGTCAGAGTGAGCGGTGAGCGCAGGGCGAGAAAGAGGAGACTCGCAGATGTGTGTAGAAGAACAGGAGGATTAGAGCGGACTGGACACGGTGAAGGTAGTGAATGCTGGTCTGTCTCTGGTGACACTACCATGTTTCCCCCCAAATAAAACATCTTCCGAAAATAAGACCTACTTACAGGTTTCCTTCTGAGTGAAATATACCGTTTTCCTGAAAATAAGACAGTGTCTTATATTAATTTTTGCTCCCAAAGATGAGCTAGGTCTTATTTTCAGGGGATGTCTTATTTTTCCATGAAGAAGAATACGGTACACATTTATTGTTAAATGAAAATAAAGGAAAATTATTACCTGTATACGGTACGGTAGTACGGTAGTTGTCAACACAAACCAGACAAACTGTGAATCCTACAGAATCAAGAATTTACTCATTCAATGACAATCATGTCGTCATCTTCTGGAACATCATCATAACAATCCAATTCCTGAATTTCCTGGTGAATTTCTTGTGACTCCATTTCTTTCAGAATCAGTGGACCAAATCTCTCATGTTTAGCAATAGCACTGTTTAAATGAGTACTTCTTGTCAAGGTAGCCTGCTCGCAGTGCATTTGCAATGCAACTGTCAGTTATTTTCTCCCATGAATTCTTCACCCAAGTCACAACTTCTTGCAGTTTAGGTTTCACAAAGTTTCCAGGCTGATTTCTCTCCATTCTATTTTCAATGTAGTCATTAATTTCCATGTGCAAATTGTCTTTGAATGGCTTGTTTATTGCAATATCAAGAGTGGAGATAGGCCTCCTGCGGGAATCATTATCTGATCTATTTTTCTTTTGTGGTGAGTGCTGGCTGCATCCCAGACTAGCAGACCTTTTTGGCTCCCTCGCATAACAAGCGGCAGCATTAAATCGACCCACTTCCTTATAACTGCTTGTGTGGCCCAGGCTTTTTCAGTTTCAAGAATAAAAACACCCAAAACACGTTAAATCTTTTCTTTCTTGCCCTTAGAAATGATTAAAGGTGGGATTTTAGTGCCATCCAGACGAATTGCCAAAATACAGGAAACACGTGCACTTTCATAAGCAGTGGAGGAAATGTACACTAAGGAGGCACCCACTGTTCAATTGTTGTTTGAGATGATTGGCCCATAAACACTGCAGTTTCATCCATAGCAATCATGTTGGAAAGATTGTATTTAGAGAAGTCAGCATCATCAATAAAGGACTTGAATGCAAGTGCTCGCTTAATAACTTGAGTATCTTCCAACCTAAACAATGTTTTAGCTCTTCTTAAAGACAGTTCATCTCGCTGAAGGAAATTATCCAGCCAGGGTTGTGATGCTTTGAAGTCTTCGGGGGCTATGTCAAACTGTGTGTCATTGCAAGGGCAAATTCTTGAATCTGAGCTCTATTCACAACCAAAGCCTTTGCTCTCCTGTCAACAACCCATTCACAGATCAGGTCTTCCAGCTCAGGAAATAATGGTTGCTGACCTGATCCACACTTGGGCTTTTTAGCATTTCCCTTGTCCACTTGTTCAATGAGGTTACCATACTCTGCTCGCCATTTTCGGACCAATCGGATACTCAACAACATCTTTGCAGAAAGCAGTAAGATTTTGGCCCCAGGAGTCTTACACAATTCCTTTCTTGTACTCCACGGAGTAGCTTTTTCTTTTTGCGCTCATTTCTAGGGGTAAAAAAGGAATTGGGGTATCAAGGTGGGGGCAGGGGGATCACTTAAAATGGCACAGGAGAATCAGAAGGGGGATTACCATTTTAGTAACCACTTTTGATCCTCCTGTGTCGTTTTGATTGCCCCTCTGATCCTCCTGTGTCATTTTAAGTGATCCTCCTCCCCCCCACCCTTGTGCCACCAAACACCTTCACCAAACATCCCCCCCCCCCCCTTTTATCAGACATTTACCCCCTGGGGCCTGCCTGGGGACTGTCACTGGGCTTGCTGGGGCCTGGATCTGGGCTGGAGCAGGGTCTGCCACTGACTGAGAACCTTCAGTCATCATGAGGGCGGCCAAGGGCATTAGGTAGCATCAACCAGAGACAGACCAGTACTCGCCACCTTTGCCTTGTCCAGTCCGCTCTAATCCTCCTGTTCTTCTACATGCATATGCGAAAGTCTCCTCCTCTCTCCAGCCCCTCGCTCACCGCTCACTCAGACTCTGCTCCGCCTCCACACGGCAGTGATGTCAGGACTCCGCCTAACTTCACTGGTTGCTAGACGCCAGTCAAGGCGGCCCTAGCGACCAGTTTACGGTAAATTAATTTTCATTCTGAGACAGAGCCTAGGGGGGCCTTATTTTCGGGGGGACGCCTTATATTTCATTCAGAAGGAAACCTGTAAGTAGGTCTTATTTTCGGAGGATGTTTTATTTTCGGGGAAACACTAGCAAGTGGCACCTTGAAAATAGAACCAGGTAGTATGGCAGCAGAGCCTATTTTTCCTAACAACTCTTTTTATATTACTTAAAACATTAATCCTTTACTTATTTTAACTAAAGAAAAGAACATTTGTTTGCATAAAACAGAAAAGTTAATCCCTTTAAATTTGAAATAGATATAAAGGAGCAAATATTGGCCAAATACAACGTTTCCCTCCTTTAAAAGATGGGAACTGGCATTGAAATTTGCTTCTTTATTTTTGGAAAATATAATGGGAACTTCGATTTGGGGTAAATGGGGAATATGTTCTAGAAAATTCATTTCTGTTGAATCATCTTAGCTTTTTGTTTGTAATATACTTGGGTCATATCTCAAAGGCTAGATGAAATTAAAGCTTTCATTTTTAACTAATGGTTCACATTTAAAACATTTCCTAGAAAAGTAAATATAAGCGTGGATATTTTATCATATTTAGAGTACTATAAAAAACTATAATATATGACATGAATAATTTAGTTTGTTCTACAGCAGAAATTATGTCCAGCTAATTTCAAGCAAGGTCAGTTACTATTCTTGATCTTTATTAACTCTATATCTTTTCCCTGTCAGGCCTATTAATATGTTAACCAAGTTATCCAGTTTTTCCAAGAGTGTGCATGTTGTATTTGAGGGCAGGATCAAGATATAGGGATTCAGAGAAAATATTTTAAATTAAGTGCGATTAGTGAATGTGCAGGTGTTTGTACAGCCTGTGATACTGCATATAAATTAACATCTAGCGTTTTGTTCAGATGGAAATATTTTAGCTTTATATTTGTTAATTCTACGAATTTACTTTGCTGCAGGAGTGGAGTCAACATATCAATGGAGCAAGTCACAGTCGTCGATGCCAGCTGCTGCTTGAAATGTAGGAGTTTGAAATACCTTTAAAACATCCTTAATCGTGAATTGGAAACTATCATTGATTGGTTTGGGGAAGTTGGTCAATTACTTGTAATATCCATATTGTTATTACTGCATAGACAATTTTTAGATCTGTGATCTTTATTGAAATATTAGATACAGTGATAGTGATACTTTTGTTACTTAATATTTCTAGTGTAAATAAACACGTCTTTTTATACAAATTGAGATAATTTATAATAGACTTAAGATAGTTTTTGATATATAGAGTATTTCAGTAAAAACACATGCTCTAAAAATATTGAATATACAAAGAAAGGGAAAGTTGATATAAGTCACAAATTAGTTGTTAAGCAAAAACTTTCAGGATGGATTATTTGGTTTTGACATACATTTGTTTCTGAGTTTAAACTAGAATAAAATTGATTTCATAGAGAATCTCCCTGCAAAGCAGCATACATAGTACTTATTGTTCATTAGTATTGAAATTGTCAAATATGCCTACCTCTGTTGGGCTGTCCTTTTTAGTGTGTTCATGGTACTTACATAGAAGAAGCAAACCCTGTGTGGTTGGTCCTCATTTCCTTATCTAAGCCATATTTCTAATTCCTCATACAGCATTGATTCTATTTAAGACTTAATAAATACAGGGAAAAAAGTCAACTTTAATTACCTATATTTTCAAGCAGTACAGAACAAATTTATTTTCATTCCTTTGGATTGATTTGTATTTTTGAAGTTTTTCTTTGGGAAATAACAATATATGGCATATTTTAAACTGTAATATTTTTAACACTTAGACTTTCATATAACTTTATAATAAGTAACCTATTTTAAAGGCCAAACAAGGCTATTTTGTGAAAAGGACAGTTTTATTTTTAAGTTAATTTTCTGGTCTTTTTTAAGCTACCCAGAATGGAACCCTGACAATGATACAGGACACACAATGTAAGTTAAAAATTTTAAGCTATTGTTTGTAAAGGAGATCAATGTAAGGAATTCAGGTTAAACTTTCAAAATATTTTGTGACTATTTTTTATTGAATGTGAGGGCAAAGTCATTGTGAGTAAATTTATTTTTTATAATTTTAATGTTGATTAAAAAGTATTTTAATGAAGTCAGTTTATTTCTTTTAATTTTTCTGGTGTTTTTCATGTCTGTCATGTTAATAATAAAAAGTTTTTACTGCCCTAGCTGGTTTGGCTCAGTGGATAGAGTGTGGGCTTGCGAATTGAAGGGTTCTGGGTTCAGTTCCAGTACTGTGGGTGAATTTTCAGAAACTATTTTATATAGTAATTTTTATTGTATTATTATTAAGAATTCTAAAAAAAAAAAAAAAAAAAAGAAAGCTCTTCATTGCTTCACACATAAGTGCCCCCAAAGATTAGAATCATAGTTATATGGGGGTTGTTTTAATAATGAATTTTAATTCTCTCTGATGGACATCTTTATCATGCTTATTATATTTATGTCTTCACATTACTAGGGGTGATCCATTCATGTTGCAACAATCTACAAACCCAGCGCCAGGAATTTTGGGGCCTCCACCTCCCTCGTTTCATTTGGGGGGACCAGCAGTTGGACCAAGAGGAAGTCTGGGTGATTATAAATTAATGTTATTCCCTAAGAGTTTTATTATAAAAATAAATTGATTATGGGCAAAAGAAGACTCATTAAACTGTTATTTAAAAAAAATAACATTGCACGAAAAGACATGGTGCTCATATTTGTATTATCTTTTTATTGTTTGAAAGTTTATTTTTCAATTGAAATGCCTATTATAGCAAGTATATTTATTACAAGAATGAAAAAAGTACCTTTTCCCCCATAAAGGTGCTGGAAATGGGAACCTGCAAGGACCAAGACACATGCAAAAAGGCAGAGTGGTCAGTAACACAACTGTTGCTTTTACTATAATTACTATTTTATGAATGTGATATACTAATTGAATGTGTCATAGTCCTTTCTGTTGAAAGACTGCTATAGTTTGAAAGCCATCAGGCTTTTCTATTACTTTGATAAGAGTTCATCTTTAATGTGTTTATAGTTCAGAGGTCTCATCTTGATTCAGGGTCTTAACTTTCCTCTCCATAATGTTTATAGTATTCAATTTAAAACTGTTTTCTGAAACTTTGAGATCCTTTCTCACTGACATGTGATTTCCTGTATAGTTTTTAAATTCCCTAGAAGGTTATATGAGTTGATATTTTAAACTACAGGCCTGATGCATGAAATATGTGCATAGGTAAGGTTCCTAGGCCTGGCCAGCTATCAGAGCTATCTGTGGGTTGCTGTTGCCAGTTGCCTCCCTCTGTGGGGTCATGGGGGTGATAGGGGGAAAGGGGGCAGAAGTTTGTTGGCATCCATCTTGGCTGCCTGAGGGCTGGGGACAGCTCCTGCGTTAAGCCTCTGCCCCCTGGTAGTTAGTGTGCATCATAGTGATGGGTTGATTTGCATATTGGGCTTTTATTATATAGGATACTTAATCTGTTCTGGTTAACATTAGACTAGACTATAAAATTTGTATGCATAACTTATTTCATATTGCTTTTAAAGAGATTTATTGACTTGATTCTCTTTCGCATTGGATAGGAAACTAGCCGAGTTGTTCACATCATGGATTTCCAGCGAGGGAAAAACTTGAGATATCAATTATTACAGCTGGTGGAACCATTTGGAGTCATTTCAAATCATCTGATTTTAAACAAAATTAATGAGGTATGAGTTTAAAATAAGTATAGTATTTATTTATCATTAATATATTTCCTAAAGAGATTACTACATGGTTTTGTATTAGAAAACTAAATGTAATCTTTTTTTTCTTTAAAATATTTTTATTGATTTCAGAGAAGAAGGGAGAGAGCAAGAGAGGTAGAAACAAAAATAATGAGAGAGAAACTTGATTGACTGCCTCCTTGCACACCCACTATCGGGGATTGAGCCAGCAACCTGGGCATGTGCCCTTTAATAAAATTAAACCCAGGACTGTTCAGTCCACAAGCCGACACTATTTACTATTGACTCTATCCAGTTAGGGCTCAGTGTAATCTTAAATCATCAATATGGAATGAAGTTAATGAAAAGCCAATAGTTGAAGTATGTTAATTTTTTTTTTAATATATTTTATTGATTTTGTACAGAGAGGAAGGAAGAGAGATAGTTAGAAATATCGATGAGAGAGAGTCATCGATCAGCTGCCTTGGCACACCCCCTACTGGGGATATGCCCGCAACCCTTGACCGGAATCGAACCCGGGACCTTTCAGTCCCCACGCCGACGCTCTATCCACTGAGCCAAACCGGTTTCGGCTGAAGTATGTTAATATTTAATCAATGAATATCAATGTATTTTTTAAATAAAAGAACATTAATAAAATCATTTTTACCATAGTCTGTAATCAAGACAAGTTCTTACAGCATCTCATCAATGTTACAATGCAACATTATTCAAGGACCTGTTCTAATACTAAATTCTAGTATTAATATATAATTAGTGAGTTTATAAATTTATACTCTTGAGCAGTAAATTGTCATTATTAATCAAATTATTATAATGGCTGTAAATGGATAAATCTTTGGAAAGTCATTTAAAACTTTTACCAAAATCATGCCAGATCATTTTAAGTCTAGTAGGCATAAGTGATAGTTCTGTGCCATGAAGATAAAGTCTGGGACAACCTTGAAAAACAAAACAGCAAGCTAATAGTGTTTTTCTGATTTTAGATTCTTGAATGTATTTTTTATTTAATGATTAAATATGTATGGAAAGATTTTGAACAATGTTTGTTTGAAATAGTTTTGTTTTTTATGTTTCGATTTCAGGCATTTATTGAAATGGCAACCACAGAAGATGCTCAGGCTGCAGTGGATTATTATACAACCACACCAGCATTAGTATTTGGCAAGCCAGTGAGAGTCCATTTATCCCAGAAGTATAAAAGAATAAAGGTAAATATATTTTTCTTTTCCTTTTTTTCAGATTTATATTGCCACTTGTTTATTATATCATTTGTTAACTTTAGCTACTTTAAATGGTTGCTAATAACTAGGATAATATTAACTAATAATTATAGTGTACCTACAAACATTTGAGATGCCCTTTTCTCCTATTAAATTAAAGAAACCAGAAGGGAAACCAGACCAGAAGTTTGATCAGAAGCAGGAGCTTGGACGTGTGATACATCTCAGCAACTTACCTCATTCTGGCTATTCTGACAGTGCTGTACTTAAGCTTGCTGAACCTTATGGGAAAATAAAGAATTATATACTGATGAGGATGAAAAGTCAGGTAATATACATTAGAGATTTTAAAAAAAACTATTCCTTAAAGTGCTTTAATATTTGTGAGTGTATGTGTCTGTGTATCCTCATTTTAAGGAAAAAAAGCACGGGGAAGTAATTTTCTTTATCTTCTCATAGATTAATTTTTTTAGTCACACAATGATACTTCTACATTGAAATAAATGCATAAGGTAAAGCATTGAATAAAAGTGGAAAGTAAAGCTCTCTTTTGCTCAGGCTAGAAACAACTATTTGTGTCCAGGGTTTGCTTCCAAAAATCTTCCTACATATAGGTATTCATTCTTTTTTTTTTTTTTTTTCCTCATTACTTAAACTAGGATACTGCTATTTTCTATATTACACGTGATTTTTAAAAAAATTTTGTTTGCTTATTTATTTGTTGAACTGATTGGTGTATCATCTGATATTTTTCTTTAAAAAAAATGTTCTTGTTTCAGAGAGAGGGAAAGAGAGAGAAATAGAAACATTGATCGTCTGCCTCCTGCATATCTCCTACTGGGGATTGAGCCTGCAACCTGGGTATGCGCCCTGACCAGGAATCAAACTCAGCTACCTCCTGGGTATGGTGCTCAACCAACTGAGCCACAACGGCTTGGTTAATAGTTTCTTTCTTCCTCTCTTCCTCCCTTCCTCTGTCCCTTCCTCCCTTTTTTCCTTCCTTCCTTTCAACATATTTTATTATTTTTTTACAGAGGAGAAGGGAGAGGGGTAGAAAGTTAAAAACATCAATCAGCTGCCTCCTGCACACTCCTTACTGGGGATATGTCCTCAACCAAGGTATATATGCCCTTGACTGGAATGAAACCTGGGGACTTTAAGTCCGCAGGCTGACCCTATCCACTGAGCCAAACCATTTAGGGCAATAATTACTTTCTTTAATAGCATTCTGAGTTCATATCCTTTCAGACTTTTTAAATTATTTTTTTCTTATAGACTTTGATTAATATCTACTAAACTTAATACTTTATTTATTTATTTATTTATTTATTTATTTATTTATTTATTGCAGGAAGCCTTTATGTAGGTGATTTTATATTTGGTCCTACTTTGTAAATCTGACAATTGTCTCTATTTTATTGGGTGACTTTTAACTCTTACCAATGTCTGTTTGTGCTAAGATAAATTTTTCCTAACAAGTGGATAGAAAGAATAGTAAGCACCATATTTTATACAATTCTCTAAGAAATAATCTTTCTTACTTTTTAAGGCCTTTATTGAGATGGAGACCAGAGAAGATGCTATGGCAATGGTTGACCACTGTTTGAAAAAGGCCCTTTGGTTTCAGGGGAGATGTGTGAAAGTTGACCTGTCTGAAAAATACAAAAAATTGGTACTAAGGGTATGTAGTCCTTTATTTGTCTTACTTAAGAATGTAGGGTTAGTAATTGAAAAAAAAATCTTTTTTTTCTGATCTTCCTTAGTAGCAGAAGTTTTCTATTTGGTGTTCTGTAAAAGCACCTAGATTCTTTGAACAAAGTTCTGCTACTAAAATGTTTATTATCCACTGATTGATTGAAATGTTGATTGTAAAAAATTGCTGACTAAAGTTACCTTAAATTCCTAGGTATATTCATAGGGATTGAATAAGCTTAGTTGATTATATGAAGGATAGTTATTATTTATTAATTGGATGATTATGTATTCTGCATGTGAATGTTTTAATGTTAATTTAACACAAAATTTTGTCTTTTTAGATTCCTAACAGAGGCATTGACTTACTGAAAAAAGATAAATCCCGGTAATTTCATTTTGTGTGTGTATGTGTCTAAATTAATAGTATATTAAACTATTGTTTTCCAACTCAGAATTAATTGATGTATATCTTTTTTATTTCAGAAAAAGATCTTATTCTCCGGATGGCAAAGAATCTCCAACCGATAAGAAATCCAAAACTGATGGTTCCCAGAAGACTGAAGGTACAACTGAAGGTAAAGAACAAGAAGAAAAGACAGGTGAAGATGGTGAGAAAGATACAAAAGATGACCAGGCAGAACAAGAACCCAGCATGCTTCTAGAATCCGAAGATGAATTACTGGTAGATGAAGAAGAAGCAGCAGCACTACTAGAAAGTGGCAGTTCAGTGGGAGATGAGACAGATCTTGCTAATTTAGGTGATGTGACTTCTGATGGGAAAAAGGAACCTTCAGACAAAGCTGTGAAAAAAGATGGAAATGCGAGTGCTTCAGCTGCAAAAAAGAAGCTTAAAAAGGTAAAGGAAAATTGTATTGACCTGTTTTAATAGAAAACTAGATCAGATAAACGTTTCAAATTATTTACCTTAGCAAGATCAGATTAAAGAGATAAAATCATTTATATTGGAAAAAATCAGGTGTGAACTATACAAGCATTTAAGTCTAAACTCTGCAATAATTGAATTAAATAGGACCTCTTAAAATTGCCCAAAATATCAGTGCAAAATGAGGACTTCTTAGTAATGAAGGGAAAAGACTTAAAACTATATATACTTCTACATTGTAAGTACTTTTAGGCAGCTGTATAGGTCAGTTTTTTAAAAGATAGGATATGATTATGCAATAAATTAACTGACCAAAAGATGATTAAAACATTTCCCACTCATTAAAAAATTGTTGAACTTAAAAACTCTTCCTATATGAGAAATATAAGCTTGATCAGACATTTCAGTAACTTTTAAAATATTTTTCTTAGAATAGATATTACAAATAGCATATAAGATGAACATAAAAATATGTACATGATACTAAGAACAGTAAAGCAAAGACCCATGCATACTAAGGTTTGGAGCATTAAAATGTCTTTGAAGCCACTTTGGTTAAATAGTTCTTGAGCCCTGGCCAAATAGCTCAGTTGGTTGGAGTAGTGTGGTCCTGAGGCCAAAGTTGCAGGTCAGTCACCAGTCAGGGCACATAAAAGACTCAACCAATGAATACATGAGTGGGACAACAAACCTATGTTTTCCTCCTCACCTGCTCTCCCTCTTCCCCTCCCTCTCTTCCTTTTTTCTAAAAATCGACAAATAAACATTTTTTATGTAATAAAAGACTAATAGGCAAATCGACCAGACAATAGAAGTGCCAGTCGCTATGACCTGCACTAGTGGTCAGTGTGCTGCCACAGGGGGAGACTGCTCAGCCAGAAGCCCTGAGTGCCCAGGCTGGCCAGCACAGCCATGGTGGCAGGGAGCAGGGCCTTCCATCTGTGAGAGGGCTCAGGCCAGGCTGAGGGGACATTCCCACCCCTATCCCCGTGCAGAAATTGTGTGGACCGGGCCTATAATTTTTGTTTGTTTTTATATTTCATTGATTTTTTTTTTACAGAGGGGAAGAGAGAGGGATAGAGAGTTAGAAACATCGATGAGAGAGAATCATTGATCAACTGCCTCTTGCAAAACCCCTACTGGGGATGTGCCCACAACCAAGGTACATGCCCTTGACCGGAATTGAACCTGCGACCTTTCAGTCCCGGCCGACAATCTATCCACTGAGCCAAACGGTTTTCGGCGGGCCTATAGTTTTTTAATAAAGGATTTTAAAATGAGATTTTTGTAATCCTGTTCTATGGTTTCTTTCTAAACATTCAACTATTAGAAATTTTTGTGTTGTTAATCCTCACCTTAGGATATTTTTCCATTTATTTTTAGGAAGAGTTGGAAAAGAGAGGATTAGTCAGAGAGAAATATCAATGTTAGAGAAACACATCAATTGGTTGTGTCCTGTACTAGCCCTTGAGCAGAATCGAACCTGTGACTCACCCACTGAGCCAAACCAGCTAGGACAAACTATTAGAAATTTTTACCTCTCACCTCTTAAAGAGCTTGTGATTATTGAGCATTTATTGCATCCTATAAAATTTTCTAAGCTCTTTGTATATGTTAATTAGCTTAATCCTCACAGTAACTATTTACAACAGATGCTTTTATTATCATTATCCCTTTCTCATGAATGAGGAAATTGAGAAGTTCATTAGTTGTCCATGATGATATTGCTAATAAGTGGTCAAGTCAAAATTTAAGCCTAGGCCATCATGCTCCAGAGCTTGATTTTTTTTTTTTTTAATGTATTTTTATTGATTTTGTACAGAGAAGAAGGGAGAGAGATAGAGAGCTAGAAACATCGATGAGAGAGAGTCATCGATCAGCTGCCTCTTGCACACCCCCCACTGGGGATGTGCCCACAACCAAGGTACATGACCTGAATCGAACCCGGGTACCTTCAGTCCCCAAGCCGACGCTCTATCCATTGAGCCAAGCCGGTCTTGGCAGAGCTTGATTTTTTTTTATTTTATTTTTTTAACTGCTACACTCTTAAACTGGGTATTCTCTAAAAAACAGTTGTGTCGCCAGATACTATTTTCCAAAGGATATCATTAAGTTATTTGTAATTAGTTATTTGACATACTAGACGCCCACTGCACAAAATTATGCATAGATAGGGTTCCCTAGGCCTGGTCTGCAATCACGGCCAATCTGGGTCTTCCTGCTGCCAGCCCCAGCCTGGGCCTCTCTTTGTTCTGCACTGCCTTCTTGTGATCAAGGCATGTCATAGCAATTGAACTCCCAGTTTGCATATCAGAGAGAGAGAGAGAGAGAGACACACCCCTAGAAGTATCAATATAAGTCTCCAAATGCTTAGAATATTAAGAGCCTCATATTTATTTTTTGCTCTCCATATAAGGCAAGCCTTCAATTATTTAGTTTTAAAACAAGCTACATTTTTTAAAATCAGTGATTTTTAGGGAGGGAAGTCAGTATTTTGAGAGAATGAATAAAGACAAAAGACGCTATCCCTCTTCCTTTAAGTAAAGCAAATGGAAGGGATGCTGCAGGATAATTGTTGCAGAGTAATTTATCTTTCTTAACAGCGTCGATTCCCAGGGAATATGGAAGGTTTTGTCACTCTAGATGAGGTTGGTGATGAGGAAGATTCGGAACTTCAGAAACTTCGTAAATCGGGCATGGCATTTAAATCTGGTGACAAAAATGATGATGGTTTGGTTGAAATTAAGGTGGACAAGATCGAGGAACTTGATCAAGAAAATGAAGCAGCGTTGGAAAATGGGATTAAAAATGAGGAAAATACGGAACCAGGTGCTGAATCTGCTGAGAACGCTGATGATCCCAACAAAGATACAAATGAGAATGCAGATGGCCAAAGTGATGAAAACAAGGAGGACTATACAATCCCAGATGAGTATAGAATTGGACCATATCAACCCAATGTTCCTGTTGGTGAGATTTAAGGTTTTGTTCTTCCCCTCTCACCCTTCCCATATTCTTATATAAGATTTTTAAATTGGTCTTACATAAACTCTGATAGCATTTTAAATTTATTTCTGTATAGAACAATTTGTTAATCATAATTGATATATTCTTTTTTTCTTACACAAGTCTCCTGATTTTATATTATCTTTTGTTATCCTTACAGAAATGTATTATTTTCTCAAAGCTTTCTAAGAATTTCACCTTGCTTTTTGTTTTGTTTATCTGTTATGTTTCTGCCTTTTATTTAAGAGTATGATTAGGTGGAACCTTGAACATCAATTAAATACAACCCTATTAACTAATGTCATTTTGTTGTTGTTGGATTTTGTTTTAGCTTAGACCATATTGGACTTCTCACACAAAAATAACACTTGAGAACACTAAATTACTTAGTTTACTGAATTTGTAAGAATATATGTTTGTGTTCTAGGTATAGACTATGTGATACCTAAAACAGGGTTTTACTGTAAGCTGTGTTCACTCTTTTATACAAATGAAGAAGTTGCAAAGAATACTCATTGCAGCAGCCTTCCTCATTATCAGAAATTAAAGGTAAGGCTAACACTGAAAGAGAACAGTTCTTTTGTGAAAACAAATCATGTAAGTTTATGGAAAGTAAAACATGTATAGTACCCTCTGTTGACTCCTTTCCTTATTGATGGGCCATAAGCATTTTAATTCTAGACACATCTATTCTGCCTCTTTCTATAGGATCTTCTAATTAAATGATAATTTAGTCATTTCTAACCACGTTAAAAAAAATTGTAATGAAATTAAATCTATTTTTAAGTATTCTCAAATGGATGCTAGACTGCAATTTGTCTAATTTGGAAAATACTGGAAGCCTGAAGACCAAGTGACATAAAGCCTTTTCAGCTTTATAAAATACTGTGTCCTATCATACTTAATGATTTTTACATTGACTTTATTATTTACTAATAATGACACTCTTCAGTAAGTTTTATGATTAACAGGATACAGAGTTAAAGGAGTAAATGAATAGTGCAAAAAATAGCAATCCAATATTACAAATATTAGTACATATGTCTCCTTTTTTTCCTCACATTGACCTCCCCCCAGCCTTTCGTATCTCCCAGCACATGACCTCACGCCCTATTCCCAGTGTCTTGCATCCATTGGTTATGCTTAATACAAGTCCTTCGTTTTATCTCTTAAAGTGGGTATTTTAGTTAGTGGCTTCTTTAAAGACTGAGCAATGAGATGGATAATGGAGGGGGACCCTAAAAGTAGAGGAGTTAAGCACTCATAATTGTAGGTAACTGTTCTATAACACAAAACTACAAGAGTAGTCAGCCAGCATTTTCTATGCATTGACTAGGATAACATTGCATTCAGGAAATTAGTTTTTGGCAGTATCACATGTTTTAAATGTATTCTTTGCTGTATTTTATACGTATCTTAAGGATATGAAAAAAGAATGGTGGTTATTTTCAACAGTAGTTAATAAATTTATATATATTTATAAATAAAAACATTTATAAATTAGAAAATATACATCTTTCTAATAACTTACTTTGTTCAAAATATTAAGCTGTTTGATGGCAGAAACTATATTACCTAGAGATATAGAAATATAAAAGTGGTCTCTGGATATGTAACACTTTTTAAAGAATATCATGCTTTCTAATATTTTTTAGCTATTCTAATTTTCTAGATATTCTATAGGCGGTGACTCTCTTATTTCCTATTTTAAATGAATTTTTTTCAACAAATTGATGTTTCTCCTTTAATCTCTCCCTCTCTCTCAAATTTTAAAAGTAAGAATAAAAAATACTTTAAAAAATATTATGTAATACAATGTCTTGCTAAGGATAAATTACTTGATATTTTCCACAGTGGCCATTTTTCTTCTTTTTAAGGATATAATGGCTTCTAAATTTCATCAATTTACAGTAACTATAGAGTTGATAAATTTCAGCCAAAAATAAAGAAATTTGATGTCTTATAGTAGATTTCTTTTTTCTTTTTTTCTTTTTTTAACTTTTATTAATGTGTTAACAGATCTTTGGTGTCCAGGTACACTAGAGGTTACACATCTAATAAAGGTGTCAGCAAGCTACTTGCAGCGCAACCACTTTCTTTTATAAATAAAGTTTGCAAGGAACACAGCACAGTGATTCATTTAATTATTGTTTATAGCTACTTATATTATTGAAATGGCAGAATTGAATAGTTGAAATAAAGACCAAATGGTTCACAGACCTACAAAATTTGCTGCTAGCCTTTTAAGAAAAGGCTGCCCACTTGGTTTACTGGAAGGAGACTTTAAATAAATCTGTGTCATTTTAACTAATCTATGCTCTTGAAGTGATAGATTTTCTTATCTTCATAAATTAATGTTAAATACACATTGAAATGATTGTCTTTCACATTTCACTATTTTTTCCCCTATGCCTTATTGTAGTGTCTTGAACCATTTTAGTATTGTACACTAATAGGAATAACTAAATCTTTAAAATAGTGATAAGCTTATAGGTTAAATTACACTCAAATCCCCAAATCTGGATAGACTTTTATTTTGGAGTTAATTTGTGTTTCTCTTAAGTAATTCAACACCTTTAAATTTTTTTTCCAGAAATTTCTGAATAAATTGGCAGAAGAACGCAGACAGAAAAAAGAAGCTTAAGATGTGCAAGAAGCTTAACGATTTCAAGGAAAATAATAGTTCTTCGTTTTTAATGTTAACCTTTTTTAAATACAATATTGATAGTTAGAAGAGTACTATTGTACTCTTTAGTGGAAAAATAATAGATGTCTGTTCTTGTGTTAAGTGTTATAGCAAAAACACATACGGTTAAATTAATGAAGAATTTTTGTTTTATCAGAATGGTAACAGACAAGTACTTTGTAGAGACTGACTTCGTAAGCTACTTGAGACAACTTGCACCACTAAAAAAATGATACGTAGAACTATTCAAAGAAATGAAATTTAGTAGTTCTAAGCTTCAAAGAAATGTCAAAACTTTTGATTCCATTCAATAAAGAACAAAACCAGTTGTATTTTTATTACTTTTCATCTGAAACATTCCACCTTTTAATCTGAGCCTTGCAGACTTTTCATTTGGATTTTGAAGCTTTTTTTATTATTATTATTATTAATGCATTTCATTTTTTGGTAACTTTATTAACTGAAGTTAACAATTAAAATACAGGTGCAGTTTTCTTTTAATGTTATGCAGTTTAGGTAATAAGAAATATTAAGTAACTGGCTTTAGATTTTGTAATTTCCCCCCCTAAGTTTCTGCTAGATTTCGTATTCTAGTAGTCAATGTATTTTCAGTGAAATGTAAAAATATCCTCATTCTCTTTGACCAGTATTAATTTCTATAGACTTTATTGCTTGTCACTTGAATCCTGTAGCTGTCATACACCTGGTATAAGCAACATTTGATTTTTGAAGTGTGTAAACCATCTTTTCATATTTTTAAGATGTAATTTTACATTTCTGCATTTAAAAACAGTTTGGCCACAATCTAAACGCACGCTTCTAATCCATATACTTGCACATGTGACTTTTGTGAACAGAAATTTGCATGTATTATCTGTGTTTACTTGTAACTTTCTGGTTATATACTGCTTATATCTGTGGATTCAAGTTTCTGAGGTGAAATACCAATAAAAACTTAGGTCATGTTCATTGGTTATACATGTTTGAAATGTTAACCAATATAATTTGTCAGTTGTGGTTTTTATTTGCTATTACACTTTCTTGCATGTTTTAACAAATTACTACATTTTAAATATAAAGAGTGCTACTAAAGCTCTGAGTTTTAAAGTTTTGGTGCTAGTGGATTTCTTGTTCCTGTTACATAACCAAAAAATGGGGCTGTTTGTGAGTTTTTAAAACCTTGGGAGTGAGTTTAAAATGCTAAAGACAAGAAATAGCAAACACTGGTATTCAGACATGCCCTATTTAATAGTCTATTTGGAAGTACCATGTAATAACAAGAATTAGTTCTAGCAGCCTCTTAAAATGTTAGGATTCTTGGTTTTCAAGATTATCTGTTCTCAATTTTTTTTTAATTTAAAAAACAAATGATTTACAAATTATTTTTGAAATACTTATATCCAGGTGTATCAAATAGTTGGATACAATTTTATGGTCTTTCTTTGAAGGACAGATGATCATTTTTTAATGTAACATGCACACAAAAAATCCTTGCCAGTTTACTTGTGCAGTTTAATTTTGGCCTTTACTAACTACCCAATTTTATTTAATCCTGACTTTTAACTAACAGCAACAACACAAAGTTTTATGTGTTCAACAGCATTCCTAATTGTTTTGTCAATAATAGCTTTTTTCTCAGAGGTCCTACTTTGTCAGTGTACCAAGTTGCAGAAAAGAACATTTAGTATTTTTGTAGTATTTAGAAAGCAGAACATCTCATTAACTGATAGTGATAAATAAACCTTAACAGCTATTTCTCAGATTATGGCAAGCCTTTATTTAGCAGTGTTTCTACTCAAACGCTGTAAAGTTTAAAAATATTTTTTCCACCTCAATTTTAGCCTTTGGTTTAATCTTAAGTTAATTCTTTTGAGGGAAACTCTTGGGAGCACCTATTAATTATTGTGGTAGGTGTTATTAAGGTTGTAAAACAGGAAGAATACACAAATTTTAATCTGGCTTTGTCTGCAGTTGATTTTTGGTGTCTTTAAACAAAATAGGTTTTTGGTGTGTAGTAGAAATCTGCAGGAACACTGCAGGGTAGTTGTTTTTTTTGTTTGTTTGTTTGTTTGTTTTTTGTCTTTAATCAAATTAATATTTGGAGTCTGGTCTATTTAAGAAAATTTACAGTAATGTGCAGAGGATTTCTGTACTTATTGATCTCCATTGAATATAGCTGAAAACTCATGGATTGAGTAGAAAGTGCCCCTTCAGCTCTGGGTCCTATCCTATGAATGTCGGGAAAGGCTGAGTGTTTTGTTTTTTTCTTCTTGTTCTTTATTGATTAAGGTATTAACATAAATGGAGACTTTTTTCTTTATACTATGCTAGTGGTTCTCTATAGTAATGCATCAGAATTGCCTGGACATTGTTAAAACATTACTGAGTCCTGCTCCTAGAATTTCTAATACGTTAGGTTTCAGTTGAGTCTCAACTTACATTTTTAACAAGTTATGGATGGTGGTGATGTCAAGTATAGAGGTCACACTTTTGAGGAAATTGCTTTACCTGTAGCTGAAGTGCTGCGTTTCATTTTTTAATGTTTTTATTGATTTTTTTTTAGAGGAAAGGAGAAACTGATCATTTGCCTCCCATATGCACTTTATTGGGGATTAAACCAGCCACCTGTGTATTCCCTCACTGGGAATTGAAAAGCGGACCTTTTGGTGCATAGAACGACACTCAACCAATTGAGCCATATCAGTCAGGACAAGAAGTGTTTTTTCATAGGTAATTGCAGTGAGATATCTGGTGTAGATGCTATTAGTTGAAAGAACTGGTTTTGCTACTGCTTCATACATAAAACCTTGTTACTGGGTCCCATGTGTCACAGTCTCTGGAAAGTTACTCTCAAAAGAATAATGTGGTACTTAAGAGGTAATTAAGGGTACTTAAAATGCTCTCTTAAGGAATATCAAAGGAAGGAATATTCTCATTGCAGTGTGAATTTTAGGGAGTAATTTTCTCCCTATTTTTGCTTTCCAATTAGTCACTCCCTAAAATTCCTTCACACCCTGAAACTCCAACACTAAAAATCTGCGTGACTCTTTTCCCTCCTACCCAATTAAATATGCAGATTATCTTTCTTTAAAAAAAATTTTGAGGTAAATGAAGATATAGGTACCAAATTACTTGAGATATAGGGAAAATTCTGAATGAGAAGACTCAGGTAATATTCATTTTTAAAAGAACTTAGCTTAAAAATTTTAGCCCTGTTTTTGAACTTGAGTTCTTTTTTTCTTTTTTTAATATATTTTATTGATTTTTCATAGAGAGAAAGAGAGAGGGATAGAGAGTTAGAAACATCAATGAGAGAGAGTCATCAATCAGCTGCCTCTTGCACACCTCCTACTGAGGATGTGCCCACAACCAAGGTACATGCCCTTGACCGGAATCGAACCCGGGACCTTTGAGTCCATAGGCCGATGCTCTCTCCACTGAGCCAAACCGTGCCGGCTGAACTTGAGTTCTTAAGTTTTATCATTATCATAGGTCAACACTCCCGCTCCGATAGGACATCCATAATATTTTTAAATCGTGGGTGCTGAGAAGTATAAGTCTGTGGAAAATCTCTGCATTCTTATTTATTTTGTAGTGTTCTGACAAAAAAGTATAAGTCTGGGAAATCTCTGCATTATTTATTTTGTTGGGAAGGGGTAGTCTGTTGGAAAGGGATAGCAGTTTAAATGATTGGTTTGTGGGATGGTGAAATTATTCATACCTCCTAATTTATTTTGTTGATGACGTTGCTACTTAAGCTCACAAGCACCAAGTGTTTTTCAGACCCATGTTTTGTTTTTCACATTTTTTTTTTTAAGAGTGGATGGGAGAGGGATAGATAAAAACATTCATCAGCTGCCTCCTGTGCACCCCCTATTGGGGACTGAGCCCTCAATCCGTTCATGTGCCCTGAATGAGAATCTTTCTTGGTTCATTTACCAACTTAACTGTTGAGCAACACTAGACAGGCAGACCCATATTTTTAAAAACATTTTTATTGATTTCAGAGAGGAAGGGGGGGAGAGAGAAACATCAATGATGAGAATCGCCAATCACATGCCCCACATTGGGGGATCTAGCCCGCACCCCAGGCATGTGTCCCTGCCTGGAATTGAACTTGGGCCCCTTCAGACCACAGGCAGATGCTCTTATGCACTGAGCCAAACTGGCTAGGACAGACCTATACCATTTTAAGGAGCAGTCAAGCTGCCCAAAACCAGCAGCAGGGAAGGCTTGGCTTATGCTGGAAAAAAGGAATTGCCTCTGCCCTCCAGTACTCCACACGTGTAGGCAGACATCCTTCTGCTAAAACCTTTATCAAAACACTTTTTTGTTTTTTTATATACAAGTAAAATTTCTCAACCATCTTTAAGTGGTAATATAATTATACTGTACAATCATCACTTATTTCATCTTTTAATACTATGCACATTAAACAGTGACAATTCCAGCTATTACCCAATCATCATTGCAAGTTGTCTGATTTTTACTACCTCATGTAAGTGGACTCAAAGTGTCTTGTGGCATTTCACTTAAGGTGATGTAGTGTACTGCAGAGTTTTCATTCTTAAAGGTTGAATAATACTCCATTGTATGTATATACTGCATTTTGCTATCTCCTCACCAAAATTGTCAACATTCAGAACAGCAGACTATTGCTTCCATGCACAGTGCTTGGCTCTTACTCAAGACTCAGTAATGCTGCAGTGTACATACTCTATACATGATACAAGTGAGCATGGGGACAGGCTATTACCAGGCTATAGAAATTTGTCAGACTTCATTTCAGGTGTTGTTTTTCTCTTGTTTAACAAGTTCAAGCTTTCATAGAGATTCAGACAATAAGATACACAGAAGACAGTAAATCCTTCAAAATCTGACCACCTATCCCATATAATAAAAGGTTAATATGCAAATTGTCCCCTCTGGAGTCCTACCAACCCCAGAGGCTGACCACC